GACATTTCAGTGCGCATCACAGCGCACAAACACACTCATGACTCCAACACACTCACTCAAAAGACGCTGTGAAAAAATCTTCAACAACTGTCATTATAGACACAACAGTATGCGTTATCAATATGACAGAGAGGTGCCGTCAGTGAAATCCTCCATGATAAGTGTTGTTTAATCATACGAGGCCTATACTGTAACTATACCCGTCTCAGTCGTCATGCTATTGCCGTTTGTGTTGTCTAAATGTTTGCATTTGCATAATTACATTTAATTAGATCCTAAAACTATACATTACCTGCCTGTTTCATGCGTGAGCAGTGATGATTTGTCAAGTAAATGCCAGGGGAATATGCGAATCCTATTAATACTGATGTATTATCTGCAAGTAATAGATCTGCTGAAGTATTCATGAGTTGTTGTTAATATTAGTTTAAACGTGAATGTCAATGCTATTATGATATTGAGACTTTAACCCTTTCAGTTTAATCAGAAGATAAGATTGCACTAATTACTAGTCATTTATAGTCTTGTGCACTTCTGAAATGTTGACGTACCTGATATTAAATGTCATTTACTTGAAAATGCTAAATATTGAATTGAATATAGTTGTTTGTCTTCATTTGCACACTCTGAATCTTGTGGAAATTATATCAAATTTCGATATATTTAAAAGTATCACATTAAAGTTGGAAATTACAGTATTGTGACAACATAGGTGTGTGTGTGTTAGCACTGTGCTGGAGAGGTGTGTGTCAGCTCATGTTAAACAGCACATTATAGGCTGAAACCATTAGAAGGAGGATCTTTTGCAACATGTGTAACAGTGTAAACCAGCAGAACTAATCGTGTGTGTGTGTGTGTGTGTGTGTGTGTGTGTGTGTGTGTGTGTGTGTGTGTGTGTGTGTGTGTGTGTGTGTGTGTGTGTGTGTGTGTGTGTGTGTGTGTGTGTGGTCAGTAGTTGACCGTCTGGCCTCTTCTCAGGGATTCCTCTGCTGTGCTTCAGCTCTGGGTCTCCATCGGCTCTGAATGTTAATTTAGCGTGAATAATCCCGTCTAAGAGCCCACCAGCCCTGTGTGTGTGTCCCTGCAGGAGCCGTCACACACACCTCAGACACACAGCGCTTTGTCTCAATCGATTAGGGCCAGGTTCAGCGTTCATTTCAGTCACTTGTTAGCTTTCTTCATTTGAACAGTGTGGGGACTTCACAGAGGAGCGAGCTCAGATTTTCCCCTGAGTTACGGTCTCTTTCTCAACGTGTTCCTTCATTTTCTCTTCGGCTTAGTCCCTTTATTAATCAGAGGTCGCCACAGTGGAATGAACCGCCAACTGTTGTGGGGGACTGTGGGGGAAACCCGAGCGCCCGGAGGAAACCCACGCCAACAAGGGGAGAACATGCAAACTCCACACAGAAACACCAACTGTCCCAGCCGAGACTCAAACCAGAGACCTTCTTGCTGAGGCAATCATGCTACCACTGCGCCACCGTGACGCTTCAGCATGTTCATCAACATTAAAAACGTTCAGCAGCTAAACATTTGGCAACCTGACACAGAACATGTCAGTTTAATCTACTTTACACACACACACACACACACACACAGCTGTTGGCAATACTGGATTCTGATTGGTCAGTCTTGACATTTCAAGGTGTGTAATCTCCAGATATCAACCACTGAGTAACACAGACTCATCCAGGGATTGAGACTCACTGTCAGTGGATGTGTTCATCCATATATTACCTGCTCATTCATATGTGTGTCTGCTCATCTGTCACGCTGCACTTTTGACTGTGTGGCGTTATCTAGTGTCTGAATAATACATGGGTTAGTCTATGCTCCGTTCAGTTGCTTTTGTTTCCGTCGGCTTTGCATTCAGTTAAAGAATTAATCATCTCTTACAGCTCAGAACACAGTTTTGGCATTTTTTTGTTTATTTTGTGGCAAAGTAATGGTGTAATAAGTGTAGTAAAGTACATTCAGGATGGTTGTTTTTGCAGAATAACCACTTCAGTCTTAAACTATAGTGCTAAAGTGCAGAATGCTGGATAATTTCAACTCTATTATCATCAACTCTGTTAAGGTTTAACAACAAGCTGAACAACAGTCACTTTCAGAACCAAACTTTACAGTAATAATGGGTAGGTTTCCTGTAAATGATGCACTTCTGCATTTCAGATCAGGTGTTGTTCTCATCTGATTGGTGCAGAATTGATTACTCTGCGTGTTTTTAAACCTGATATGAGCAAACCAATGAGAATCCAGCGCATCAGAGTGAAGAGGATATCCTCCATTCCCACACACTGCTCATATTCACTACAGACTACGCTACTAATATAACTGTGTTGAATACAGCCAACTGCCGGAGTGTGTGTGTGTGTGTGTGTGTGTGTGTGTGTGTGTGTGTGTGTGTTGAGGAATCTGCTCGTTTGTTCTCCTCAAGCGTCTGTCTGTAATTGACATGTCAGCGCAGAGAGAGGCAGATTCACAAACACACTCGCTGGTTAAGCAGCTCCTCTGCGAAACAGAGAATATTAATATTACGCTGCTCTCAGCTTCATCCTGACCCAGTTCTGTTCCCGCTGGGAGTCTCAGCAC